AAGAAGGCAATATCTGTTTAATAAGCCAACCTAAGTTTAGTTCTGCTTGAAGATCATGACCCCAGAATGTCTTTAAATGAACAAAATAAAATATCATAAATTGTATTACAGCAACAAGAGTGATGTGTGTGCATTCAAATATGCAAATATGTATGTGTCTATCTGACTGTGTGATCAGATGGCACAAAACCTCAAGTGAAGGTTAAAATGAATTAAATGGCTATTCAAGGTGAAATAACAAATTAGGATAATGATCAGAAACAAAGTGTATGGTCTTTACAAATATGCCCCAATGACCCACTAAAGGCTTAGTGCCACTACTGGAGATATTATCAGACTTTGAGATGTAGCCTTGCAGGAAGAAGTTAGGTCATAAGTACATGCCTTTGAAGAGGATATAATGCCTCTGACCCTTCCTCCCAATCTCTTTCTTTCCTAACCATCATAAGGTGAGCAGGCTTACAATCAGGTTCTTTTGCTATGGTACACAATACTATCACAGCCCAAGCTGTAAGGCTCAAAGCACCATAGGCCAAGACTTCTTAAATTATAAGTCAGGTAAAGCTTATCATGTTTTTTGGTTTGTTTGTTGTTTTTTTGTTTTTTGTTTTTGTTTTTGTTTTTGTTTTGGGGGGGTAACAAAAAATTGACTAACAAAAGATAATAATGTTTAGCTTTTGTAATTCCTATTGGAATAACCAAAGGGGAAAAATGTACCCAATTTGTAAAGAAAAAGGTAGGAAGTGATGTGTGTGTGTGTGTGTGTGTGTGTGTGTGTGTGTGTGTGTGTGTTAGTATTGTTCAGAGCCTGGTGACTTAAATTTAATCACAGAATCCCCGTGGGAAGGAAAGAACTGCTCCCATAAGTTGTCCTCTGACCTCTACACAAATCCTGTGGCATGGGTTTACACACAGTCATGCGCGCCCGCGCGCACACACACACACAAGCACACATGCACACGCACTCACAAATAAGTAAGTAAATAGTAAAATTACTAGCTAATCTTAGCATTGTGGCACATACCTATAACCTCAGCACTCAAAAGTAAAGCAGGCGGATCCTGAATTTAAGGCTAACCTGGCTTTCAAGTTTAAAACCAGCAGCCTAAGCTATACAGTGAGAGCCTGAATCAAAAAGAACAACAAAAAATATTTTAATGAATAAGTTTGCCAAGGTTTCAAGATCAAGATAGAGTTTTTAAAACAGCATTTGATATTTCTATAAACTAACAGTGAGCAATTGAAAATGAAATTTTAAAAATAAATTATGATAACACAAAAAATCTAAACCTACTTTGAATTAAACTTCAGCTTTCTTAAAAATAAAAAAGCTATGGAACGTTTGTGTATTAAAGACTACAAAACATTACTGAGCTGAAGGAAATCTATATACATACAGAATCATACACTATTCGTAGACTGGAGGATTCCATAGTATTAAGATGTCAACCCTTTCCAAGTTGATCTATAACCCATGTAAACCCAATCCAAAGCTTAGCATTTGTTTGTTCACTTTGGTAGAAAATGGCTAGTTGACCCTAGTTGATGTGTAAATGCAAAGAACTTATAAACCCCAAGACAATTTAAAAAAAAAAAAGGTGGAGGGTTTTGATCACTACAGTGATCAAGGCAGATTGTATTGGCTCAAGTATAGAAATAGGTCATGATAGCTAGCAAAGAGGACCCTAGGAGGGATGTGTGGCTTGCCCAGCGAGGGAGAAATAGATGAAATCTACATGAGCAAACTGGGGGTGAGGGTGGGGGAAAAGAAGGGTAAGGGATGGGGGATGAGAACATAAGGGAATGGGAGGTTAGAGCTGGAACAGGGACAGAATTGGGGAGCAAGGAAAGAGATACCATGATAAATGAAGACATCATGGGAATAGGAAGAAACAGAGTGCTAGGGAAGTTCCCAGGAATCCACAAGGATGACCCCACCTCAGACTACTGGCAATAGTTGAGAGGGTGCCTGAACTGGCCTACTCTGGTGATCAGATGGCTAAATACCCTAACTGCCATCATAGAGCCTTCTTTCCATGACTGATGGAAGCAGATGCAGAGATACACACCTGAGCACCAGGCCGAGATTCAAGAGTCCAATCGATGAGGTGGAAACTCTTGCCCCACATTGGGCACCATTTGTAGCTGGAGAGTTTTCTCTCTGGGTCCTGCCAAGCCCCAGCAGTCCCTTAGACCACTTATAAAATAAACAGACAGACACTTATATTATTTAAACTGCTTGGCCATTAGCTCAGGCCTATCATTGTCTAGCTCTTACTCTTATATTTAGCCCATTTCTATTAATCTATACTTTGCCACGTGGCTTGTGGCTTATCAGTACCTTACATCTTCCTAGTCCTGGCGGCAGCTCCAGGCAGTCTCTCCCTCTCTCCCTTCCTGTTCCCTCAGTTCTCCTCTCTGTTAGTCCCGCCTATACTTCCTGTCTGGCTACTGGCCAATCAGTGTTTTATTTATTAACATATTTGCCATACAGAACATCCCACAGCAAGAGAGAGAAGAGGGGGATCTGTGATTGGTATGTAAAATGAATAGAAAATTTCCTAATAATACAAAAAAGAAATAGCTCATGATAAAATAATAATCCATAAGTCCAAGATATATGATCAATTGGGTTTCTAACAGAGGTGTAAGGACCATTCAGTGAAGCGGGGGGGCATCTTGTCAACAAATGATTCTGGAACAACTAGATACTCACATGTAGAAAATTGATGAAGATCATTAACCATGAGGTAATTACAAATCTACACCATCCTGAGATACCACTTTAACAGTTAAGATCAAGTATTATGAACATGCTATCTGTTGGCACACAACCAGAACCTCATACACACACTGTTGTCAGGAATCTAAATGGGTACTTTGAAAACAATTTAACAGCCTTTAAAAAATCAAAAGAATGATTACTGTATTCCATCCATAGCTAACTACTCAGGGGAGAAGGATATGTTCACCGTATGTTTACAGAAACACTTGTACCTGAATGTTCATAGCAGAAAAAAAAAAAAACTAGAAACATCAAAAATAGCCACCAATAGATAAGTAGACAAAGTAATTATAGTCTATTCACACAGCAGAAAATGGTCCAAGAAATGATTTTTTAAAAAACAAAAACAAAAAATGAGCTATTGATATATATGTATGAATAAATCTCAAAAATACTTTTGCTGAAATTGAAAACTAAACAAAAAATACACACCTTATCAATGCATTTGCTTAAGATTCTAGAAATTGTAGTTTCCTCATGACAAATTCCAAGTGAACAAAAACAGGAAGGTGGCGTTACAGATAAGAGCAGCGAAGCTTTTAAAGCAATGTATGGACCTCTTGATTGTGATGGGAGTTTCACGCGTGTATACCATGCTAAAACTTTTTGCTACTTTTTCTGTTATTTCCCCTTTTTATCAGCCTATAGGCATTACAGTTGGGATCTGCTTTCATAAAGAGAGTTTCCTTCATGTACAGTATTACTTTAACCAAACTCACCCCTTCCCTCCCCACTTTCCCAAATTCTCTGCCTTTCCTTAGTCTACTTTCTACTTTCATTTCCTCTGTCTCGGTCCCTCTGTCTCTGTCTCTCTCTCTCTGTCTCTGTCTGCCTCTGTGTGTGTATCTATATAACATCTAGAGCCCACAAATGAGAAAAAAAACATAATATTTGTCTTTCTTTTTTTAATTTAATTTTATTTTATTTTTCTTTATTAAGAAATTTTCTACTCCACATACTATCCACAGATGCCCCCTCCTCCCTCCTCTCACCCCCCAGCCCTCTTTCCCAGGCCACCCCACATCCCCACCTCCCCCAAATCGAGGTCTCCCATGGGGAGTCAGCAGAGCCCAACACACTGAGCCTAGGCAGGTCCAAGCCCCTTCCCACTACACCAAGGCTGTGCAAGGTGTCACACCACAGGCACCGGATTCCCAGAAGCCTGCCCATGCACCAGCGACAGATCCCGATTCCCCTGCCTGGATGCCCCCCAAACAGTTCAAGCCAAATAACCGTCTCCCGTGTCCAGAGGGCCTAGGCAAATGGATGGATCTAGAAAATGTCATCTTGCGTGAAGTAACCCAGATTCAGAAGGACAAACATAGTATGTACTCACTCATAAGTGGATAGTAAATGAGAGAGAAGGGATGGCCAGACTGCAACCCACAACTCCAAAGAGGCTAGCTAACAGAAAAAGACCCTAGGAGGGACACATGGATGACCCCGTGAAGTATTTGTCTTTCTGATTCTGGCTTATTTCACTTAACATGATGACCTCCAGTCAAATCCATTTTCCAATAAATCACATAATTTCATTTGTCTTTATGGCTGAATAAAGTTGTTTGTTGTTTGTACACACCAGATATTCGTTATCTATTTCTCTGTTGATAGACACTGAGGTTGAAGACTGCTACACAAACCTGGGCATACAAGCATTTCTGTGGAGTGCTGACTCATAGTCCTTCAAAGATTAAATTGAAATACTTGTACTTTTTTGTATATGAATCATAACCTATGTATACATTTGAGGGGGATGATCTTTTCAGTGTGCTCACAGTTTAAGCAGCCTCATCCCAAGGAAACTCACTTGACCTTTCCACATGCCCCCGGTTGTTTCAATAGATGTTGATCACTCACCTCTTGAGGCCTGCCTGTTGTGAGCCTTTTGAACATTTTTGTCTAACTACAAATGCCCATAATAGCAGAAAACACTCTCAGGGTTATTTGCCCTGCAACTTACTATCCCTCGAGAACAGAGTGTGATTTGTGAGAATGAATCTCTTTATTAAAATATCTCAGGAAGATCCTTTGTTTAGAGTTTTTTTTTTTTATTATGTACTTTCAGGTGTAAACAGCAAGGGAGACTCTGGATATTTGTTTTTAATAGAACCAATACAATATCAAGAAGCAGTGTTGGTTTTAAAAAACACTATTTTACAAAAATAAAAAAAAGATAAATGCTTAATAATTAATAGTTGAGTAATTAGTAACCAGTTTAGTTTGAATACATGGCAAGGATGGTTCTTTTGTAGAGTCCTGGAAGAACACATTCTCTTAGTAAGAAACCAGAAGTTGAAGACCTCCAAGAAAGCGGATCCAGCTGGCATGGTGTGGTCCCTTTGGTCTGGTTCTGTGTTGTTGTTAGATCGTTTTGTTTGGGGTTGTTATAAAGAAGAGAGCCACCGCAACAGCCAATAGCAGTAAGACTACCAAGTGGATGTAACACAGTTTCCTTGTGTTGCTGGTGGTGCTCCAATACCCCTCTCTCTGCAGGTTTTGTGGAGATCTGGAGGTCCTGAGTAACTTCACTGAAGGCCTGTTTAATTCCTATCAGCAGGTATGTCTGCCCTCCCACCGTAAGCACAATGCTGAGGCGGATCGCAGCTCTGCCTTCTTGCACGTCTGCACTTCTGTGCACGGTGGATGGAGACGAAGAGCTACAGACATTAAAAGGAAGGACAAGCCGTGAAAGTTGGTCGTGCTTTCCAATCCTGGATCCAACTTAGGCTTTTTAACTTGCCTCTTTTCCAGCAAAATCCGTACCGTTGTTTGAATTCTGCTAGTAGCTAGAAATTTTATTATTTGAAATTTTATCTAACAGTCTGCTTTCACTTCTCCATAGAAACATTTTTGAACATTTTAACTTAAAATTGGTTTTATTGTAAGCTTTATTATGAAACATTTGCAAATAAGTAAAAGCATCGCACAAGCGAGGAAACAAAAAGCTATAGATTCTAAAGGGATGGGGTCCTCAAGCTCTCCAAGTCCCTAAAGGAATACCTTTAAAACTGTGCTCTTCATTTTAAAATGCAGTTCCTCTTAATGATAAGGAGAAAGAAAAGTGCTGTTTGCACATGTTTCACATTAGTAATTCCTGGCTAACATCTTGAGGATGTTTACTCAAGGAACGTTCATTCAAGTCCAGTCAGCAAATTGGGGTCTGACACATACTTACTTCCCTTAGCTCCAGATCCACAGTGAGACTGCCTTGGGTTCCATCACTGCTAGATTCTCCAGTTGACTCTCCCTGTATCACTGACTTCTGCATGAACAAGAGGGGAGGTTTTTTCCTACTGTGTTTGTAGACAGAAAAATAAGAACCTCCCTCCACACCAAGGTTCTGATACAAGGCTGCACTTAAGAGTTTTGTTTCTCTGGAATTAGAGACATTATAAACATTTGGGGATTTATCATAAAAATTGGAGGGAGTCCCTTGGCATAGGAAACGATCATAAAGCCAACTAAATGGATCCCTTCATGTTTTTGTAGTTGAAAAATCAAATTTAGTCTAGGGCCTTGGTTGATTTTCCCCAGTAATACAGGAAGTCTGAAGCAGCTGAATGACATCAAAAGCAGAGAGTTGTTGCTCACCCAGAGAGGCACCCTAGTTCTTAACACCTTCATAAACAAACATTGAGAAATAGTATCGAATTCCTCAGTACACACCATCTCTATCAGCCTTTAGAATTGCTGTTTTATATGCTGCTAGAGCCTCAGAGGAATCAAATCTACATTGTGTTCATCTAGTGTAAGGAGAAGAGGAAGTGATGAAAATTTGCCAGAAGAAGGCCCCCCAAAAGGGAAAAATTACTGAAAATTGGCTGTTTGGAGAACATGGGGTTTTCTGAACTGTTTAAATGTGCTTTCTCTGAAAAGACATTAGTCAAGAAAATTTGTTTTGATTGTGCTGATGAATAAATGACAAAGTTAATATAAATCAATCATCTCCTAACCTCCCTAGTTTTCTATGAAATCAACAAAATCTTTATGCATGTAAATGTAGAAAAATTATTTGTTGCCATTCACAGAAAAAAGAAAATTATAACAATTTCCTAAATAGCTAGATTCTAATTATTAACTTTCTTGCACAATCTTTAATATTCCAAAAGCATATTATTTTTTATCTTTTTCATTTTTATAATTTTTTAAATTTTTTTGAGATTACATTTGTATCATTCCCCTCTTCCCATTCTCCCCCAACTCTTCCCATGTATCCCCCAATACACTCTCACTTTCCTATTTATATAAACCTATACACATACACATACACATACACACACACACACACACACACACACACATATATATATATACATATATATATACATATATATTTAGGGATACATATATGTGTATTTATGTGTATTCATAAAAATGTGAATATGGGTATTCATAAATATGCAAATACAACCTGCTCAATCTGAATGACATGACTTATATGTATATGCTTTGGGGACAGCATTGAGTTCCAGGATGCTGCTAACCATCACAGTAACAGTCAGACTCACCAGTCCTCAGACCATTTTGGTAATGGTGTGAATGCATCAGGATTCTGGAGAAGAGCAGCTGCTATTCTTGCCAACTGCAATGAATGCCCTCAAAAAAATGTTGCAATTTTTGTTTATTTATTAGTGGGTTTTTGGACAAGGATCCTGCTGAGTGTTTCTTAGACTTTCATGATCGTTACTCACTAAAATATAGATCAGAGCTCATTCTAATCCAGATTCCTGCTGCCTTATTCTAATTTCCCAGGCCTAAAATGGAGGTGGGGCATGGAATTTACATTTCAAATAAGAATACCAGGTACATCTTGGGACAAGGTGCTGTGGAAGACACACTCAGGAAAAGTGAGGCTGACTTTGAAAACTGAGAAAAATATGTGTCTATTAGACAGATATCAACAACATCTATTCAAAATGTATCAAAGACCTTAAGGTAAGGCTGAAACTCTGAAATTACTAGGAAGGAGCATAGAGGAAATTCTTCAATAGACAAAGGCAGGGACTTTCTGAAATGGACTCCACAGCTCAGTAAATCATACCAAGGATTGACAAATAGGATTACATGAAATTAAAAAGCTTCTGCACAGCAAGAGAAGCAGGAAAGTAAAGAGACAGCCTGAAAGGAACATCTTTGCTCACCATTCATCTCACAAGGATTGATATCTAGAATGCATTTAAAAAGCAAAATCTAATTAAATACTGAAAAAGCAAAACAGCCCAATCAATAAATGGGATAAAATGAAAAGAAAAAAACTGTTGGTAAGGATGTGGGGGGAAAAATCCCCATACACAGCTGGTAGAAGCGTAATTAGTGCCGCCACTCATCGTGGGGAGAGTGGTGCTTCCTCACAAAGCCAAAGCTGGAACTACCATCCGACCCAACTGAGGCACTCCTGGTATGTATCCATGCACTGACCCTACCACAGAGATACTAACCCATCCATGTTCACTGCTGCATTGTTCACAATAGCCGAGACCTGGTACCAGCCTAGATGGCAAGTGAGGGAAAGAAACATGCTGCGTAGGTATGCAATCTAGTTTTATTTAGCCACAAATCAAAATCAAATTATTTTTTTGCTAGAAAATGGGCGTCATCGGGCTTTGTGGTATTAAGCAAAATAAGCCTGGCTCAGAAGACAGATGTTATCTGTTTCTTCTCATTTTTGGATCCTGGACTATATATATATGACACGACATGAGCAGAAGGGGTCTGGGGAAGGAAAGAAAATAAATGGAGTATGAAGGAAGATGGAGAAAAAAGAGGATTAAAAAATACATGGTATATACTTGAAATTGTCTTTATGAAATCTAACACCATTTATAAAAAATATACCAATAAAAATTCTCAACTGAAGAATGATTAAGCCAAAGGCTTAGTTTTAAGCTCTTCATCTTTGGATCTGCAATAAGCTTCCTTAATGAAAATAGCCTGAGAAAACAGCCATCAAAATTGCTATGAGCATCTTTCCTTTACACCCAGCCCTATGGATCGTTAAGACTACTTCACAGTAGCTATCACCTTCCCTGCATTGGAGACTGCAATCACACAGCTTTAGGCTTTAGGGGCACTTAGACAAGATTCAGGTTCACCTTATGAAAATACCATGGCCAAGAAATCCATGTAAGAAATCATTTGAAACCAAGTAGATACAAAGGAGCCTAGGGAAAGCCTGCGCCTGTGGGATGACTAAGGTTCTGAGAAGTCAGTGAGGAGTGGTGGGGAGGGGCAGAGTGGCTTAGTCTTGCCTCTGTGTCAGTTGGTCATTCCTTGCAACTGCCCCTGACAGGCATTCCGGTCCACTGAGCATGCCCAGTTGTGTGACTGATTTTCACCAAATAGAACTATCAGGACCACCTAAAAGCTTTACCAACATCCGGCCAGTAAAGTGGCCACCAAAACAAATCATTCTTAAACTTGTGATCAATGAACCCAAAAATGGAGAAAGCGGCTCCTTTCATCTATAACAATGGTTTGAGTCCTTCTTTCTAATTTCTCCCTCCTCAGATACACTGGTCTCCTCCAAAGGGACAACATTTGGTGAGATGCAGCAATCTTGGTTAGCAGGAGATCAGAAGCAAAACAATGTGAGGGTGGTAGAATCGAGTGTCATCCACCTCAACAGCGAACAGATCACCAGGAGCTCCCAGATCACCCTGCCAATCAAGTGAGGAAGGATTTTCGCTTAGGGAACCTTATGTGAGAAACTTGCCAACTTGCTTCACTGACTTTTTAGCTGAACTGCTTCCAATACTTAGGTGCTGTCTCTTGTAAAGCCTACAACAACCAAGACAACTCCCAGCATGGAGGAATACACAGGTAAGCAGCTCTGGCTCCTGAGGAGTAAGAAGTCTAATATTAGCTGATGCATGTTTTTTCTGCATGATTATACACCTTAAAGGTTTTCTGAAATGCTTTTGCTGAGGTCAGATTATTTCCCTCTATTTCTTCTTTATTAAAAAAATAGTAATGATAAAATAGTGATTGGGGGGAAGGGCCGTGTGTGTGTGTGTGTGTGTGTGTGTGTGTGTGTGTGTGTGTATGTGTGTAGCTACATGTGTGAATATATATGAATATATATATATATATATATCA